GGTCTACATAGTGAGTTCCAGGACAGCTGGGGCTACAGGGAGACCCTAAAAAAAAAAAAAAAAAAAAAAAAAAAAGGAGTTAACAACTGCCTGGATCAGTGTTAAAGCCACTTGTCAAAAGCACAGAACCAAAGACATGAAGAATTACTGGATTCAGGTGTTTCATGCAGTCTCTATACTGGCATTAACTGCCCACCAAGCTAATCAAGTAGAAACTTCAATGGCCACACGTAACAAAGAATATAACTTTTATAGCCTTAGTTCAGGAGAGTTACTAAATAGCTCAAAACAATAGCACCAAATCCTGAGACTGGAATAATTGCCACATTATAGTATATTATTTAAATGTATAAACTTGTGAAAAAAAGATTATAAGGGAAAAACATAAGATAGTATGTTCCATATACAGAAAAAAAATTGAGGAATTCCAGACACAGATTTACTAGATAGACTTAACTACTGAAAATATGTTCGGTGAGCGAAGTGGAACATCTTGTGAAGAACCAAAGGAGAGGATGGGAACACTGCCTTACTGGACAGAGAATGGTGGAAAGAGATAGAAGTCATAAAAACGAGTCATGTAAATCTGGAATTGAAAAAGTACAGTAGGAAATATTTGCTAGAGGAGCTCAATAGATGATTTAAGCAGGCAGAAGAAAGAAATTGAAAATTGAAGATAGGCCCATTGAAATTGCTTAGTATGAGAAACAAAAAGAAAAAAGTGAAATGAACAAAATCTCAGAGTTCTCTGGGAAATGATTGAGTTGCTAACACATTCACATTGGAGGGGAGGGGTCAAAACAAGAGGGTACGCAGAAATGGATAAAAGGATATTTGAACAATGAGCACAAATTCCCCCAATTTGATGACAACCAAAAAACTTCCAGATTCAGATACACAGTAATCAAACTATCAAAGGCCAAACATAGAGTGTATCTTGAAAGCATCCAGAAAGCAGTAACTCATTATGTGCTAGGTCTTCTCAGTTCTGACTGAGCAGATAAGGTCTCATCAGAAACTAAGGAAAAACTACACCTTAACCAAGATTCTACATCCAGCAAAGCTCACCTAAAAAATGAAGATACTTACATATGAACAAAAACCAAAAATTCATTGTTAACAAATTAGATATATAGGAAATACTCAAAGGATTTATAAATAACTTTAGAAAATAAATACAATTTTGTTTGTAATTCATTTTAAACCTACATGACTTAAAAGGTAGGTGTATAAAAGTCATTATAAATCCATGTTGACAGATACAACATGTATAGATATATAATTTATGATAATAAAAGCACAGTGGAGAAGAAAACAGCAATTTTTTAACACTATGGAAATTTATATCTATTCAAATAGATTGTTAGAAATTAAGATGCAAATGGCAATTCCCAAGACCACTACTAAGAAAAAAACTTAAAAAAGGTATAGTAAGCCAGGCATAGTGGTGCACACCAATAATCCCAGCAGAGACAGAGGCAGATGAATCTCTGAGAGATTGAGGCCAGCCTGGCCTGCATAGAAAGTTCCAGACCAGCTGGGGATACAGGAAACCCTGTCCTAGAAAAGAAAAGAAAACAAAATGCATATTAAAAGAGGAAATCCAGACTATATTAGCAAATATCTTTTTAACAAAAAAGAAGTACTATCAGAGAAATTTGAGAAACAAAAATAGAAGATGAATTAATAGCAAAATGGTAGACCTAAATTCTACATTACCAGTAATACATTAAATATTAGTAGGTCAACAGCTATAATAAGACATATTGGCAGAGTAGATAAAAAGACATGGTCTAACTGTAGTCTACAAAATACGCCCTTTAGACTCAAAAACAATCAGGATGAAAGTAAAAGAATGGAAAAGTTGTACCATGGAGTGGCTATATTAATGATAGATGAAATGGACTTTTAACAAAAAGCTGTTTCTAAAAGACAGATTTTACACTGATCAGTAACCCATAAGAAATAGCAATTATAAACATGCATGTACCTAACACCAAAGGGAAAAAAAAGGAAAGAAAAAATACCCCATAGAAGCTTGGCAACCAGTGACTACTGGGAGAGAGAGTTGGGTGTTTTGCAGGGGAATGATAATAGGTTGAATTCAGTGGATGGACTCATCCTGAGGGATATTTAGGAACACAAATGTGGCTCTATAAGAGC